ATATATATATATATATTATGCTCACCCTATCTGATCTTTTAAGGGGTACTGTGTGCAGCTATCAGATGTGAGCAGATAATAAATCCTGCCTGTCTTATGTAACATTGCCATGGAAGTGAACTTTACAAGCAACATTCCAATGCCATACAGGCTGTGCTCAGTTAGTCATCCAATATCTACATACATTCATTATTTTTTTAAGGAAATCACATGATGGCCTATCTTTAGTTATTTTTTTGTGGTCAAGATATTCATTTTATTAGTATTTTTCGCTCATCAAGCAAGTTCCCTTTCAAGGGAACTTCGAACTGCGTCCTCTAGGGGTCGCTATGGGGAACGCCTCGTCGTGACCCGTGTCTGAAGCATACATTGAAAAAACACCAACAACACGTTGGCCGGCGACAGCCATGTAACCATGGTTCCCTGCGTAGGGAACGAGACACTGCGTCTTCTAGGTTTCTTGCCATGCTGCGGACGCAAGCTTCAGACGAAGAAGTGAATGATGTGTGCTCCCGGCGCCTATTTATACTATAGTCGCACTATAGTATAACGTCAAGGGGTTTCGCCGGCCAACGTGTTGTTGGTGTTTTTTCAATGTATGCTTCAGACACGGGTCACGACGAGGCGTTCCCCATAGCGACCCCTAGAGGACGCAGTGTCTCGTACTTTAATTAGTATAGGTCTAAATATGTGAATTAAAATACAATTATATTATAGTATTATTATAGTCCCAAAGGATCTTTATTCTTTAAAAACCTGTTTCTCACATTTATTTTTATTTTATTATTTTTCAGCGAGTTCTTTTCTGCCTAAAAGCAACCAGTATGGGAATCCATTCATCCATTCCGTAAATGCTGCCAAGGTTCACTAGAATCTGACACGACGGTCAGCGAGAGCAGCCTGACCGTATCCATTTCCGGCTGTGCGTGTCATTCCCACTCTGTCCAGATTGATTCAGCGGCTCAGGCTCCGACTAGTGTGAGTGAAATGACAGTGAGCGCGCGCTATCTAGCTGCAGCTGCTGTAGTCATACTGTACGCCTTGAATAAATGAATTTCCATTCAAGACAGCATGCAGCTAATTTTTTTTCTGGATCGCTTTTAAGCCAAACATATTTTATGTAAACCTGTAAAAAGTATTTAAAATAAAAATTTAGCCTATAAATATATTAAATAGGCTATATT